TCTGCTAGTATAGCCAGATGTATTACTATACTCAAATCCCTATTTTACAGAGTTTCACTCAAAAGCATATTTAAGAAACTTCTGTGATGCTGTCCAACAAGGGAAGGTACCAAATAGTCTGAAGGTAAGGGGTAGTCCTCTTAGATACCAAAGTGCATGAAAAAGGTAGACAGTTTATCAACGGGGGTAGCATAAGTTTATGAACAACGTTTCTAAGTGGAAAAAGGACCAAAGTGACAGTTTTCAGAAAGTAAATAGTGGTCTGATTTTAAGCAACTTTCTCAGACTGTAGACAGCAACTGTAGAATAAAGATATGTTACACTAAGAGAAAGCACGAGGTCACAAGATAGTTCAAAAATCATCAAGCAAAATAAATAGTTCATAAGGTGTCAGTGAGAAAAATAAGATGCCATAAAATCAGGGTCACTGGACTCTATTTTGCTATTTAAGGGTATTCGGATCTTATTTTACAGACTTCTTTTGAAGACAACTGTAAAATCTATCTCTCAATGTGTTAAGTTAGAGACTTAGACCGCCCATGGCCCAGTAACTCACAAGGGAGCAGATAATGAGCTCTATTTACTAATTGTAGAGGCTGGGGAGATTCTTCCTACTAAGAAGCAAGTTCCTCCCTCAAACTCAAATAACTGAAAATGTATATTGTAAGCTACGGCAAAGAGAAGCAACTGGTGCTTTTGTTGCATAATAAGGCAGAAGATTGTCACTATTTTTTCCTCTCTTTTTTTTTTGAAAAGGCGTCTCCTTTTCAAATGGCAAGAGTAGATGGTAGATTTCCCTTCCCCTGTGCTGGAGGTAGTAGCAGTGTGCAGGAGGAGCCAGTGCAGAGCTGAGTTAGTTCAGCCTGTGGGGGGCTTTGTGAGCAGTGGAGGCCGGCCTGGTGCTCTCCACCCCGATGTGAACTAGGGAACGCTTCTGCTCACCCCGTGGGGAGAAGGGGACTAGCGCCTTCTCCTCAGGTGAGTTCACATGAGCTTCTCCAGGAGGTGGTTATCCTAATTTATCTAGTGATGCTTAAAATTGCAGGGAAAGCATTGAGGTTCAAGTAGAAACTATCTGCCCTTTTGACATTGATTGGGGTTTGCTTTGTTATTCCCAAAGAAGCAAAAAAAAACTCTCTCTTGGAACTCTAGCTTGGTAAATGTTCATCACAAGATACTCACTTTTACATGAAAATGTAAATTAATCTAATGATTAAAAAAAAAAAAAAACCTTAAATCCAGTAACTTTATTTTTGTTATTCAAAAAATACTAACAAATTGCTTTTACCAAAAAAGTCATTTAAAATGAATTTCTACAATTCAATTTGAATACATACCTGTTGTTCACTTCTACAAAAAAAAAAAAATGTGGCAGTAGCATGTTAGAAATACATTTAGCTCAAATGTAAACAGCCTAAGCTAAAATTTTTTTAGCTCCTTTAAAATCTTTTGTGCTGACAGAAGTGCCACTTCAAGACCATTTACTGTTGTCCAAGCAAACGATAGTCCCAAATCTGGCCCAAAGCCGGAAGATCTTGCAAGTCTGCCACGTTCTTTGTAAGGTGAAGTAAAACCATGCCAGCTGCCTTGCAAGGAGAGCTGCCCTACAGCAATCTAACAGTCTTTCCAGTCACAGTCAAGAAGTCATCATCAGCCAAGGCCCGAAGTGCTTCTTCAAACATTTCTTTAGTGATAGCCTTAAAGGAGGAGGAGGGAAAAAAAAAAAAAAAAAAAAAAAAAACCTTAAACACATGCACAAAAAAGTAGTTTTTAACTTTTCATATCAGTTTTCATATCAGGTTTTGCAAATTTCCGTATTTTTTTTCCAAATGTTAACATCTGGCCTGGATCCATAAAGCTGAATTAGTTTTTTCTGGCTTCTGCTATAGCAGAGATTCAGCAATCTTAACTACCCCAGCTATCAGTCTGCAAGCCTATATATTATAGCTCCCTTATCTGCAGTAGTATTTGCCTTGCAGCAACTGAACAAATAAGGCTTCTTTTTCCCCTCCATACTGTGATTTGGAGATTATGTTGATTTGGAAAAACAAGCAAATATTTTTAAAGAAAATGTGTACTCAAAACATTCCCCGCACACTTACTGTTTCAGACTGTGCTCGGAGATCGTCGAAGAGCTGTTGGTATTTTAAAGCTGGGGTTTTGCCCTTCGACTGGATAAGTTTCCTCAAGGCTTGAGCCAGCTCTTCCTTCCGCTTGCGAGCCGTTACACTCATTCCTTACAAAAAGAAACAGCCTTACTTTTCAGAAATAAGTTGGCAAAGACAGATTAAGTTATGAGTGACAGAAGCCCAACAGCATCCCAGCTTTATTGCTTTGAGAATACAAACCTGTAGTAAGAATCGATACATCCACAATCCCTGTCCTTGGATCAGTAGCAGATTGTTTCAGAGCTTCCCGATGGAGGCGTTTTGCTTCTTCCACATCAATTGTTTCAACTTTACCCGAAAATCGTATCTTAGCATGTGCTTCTGCCAGCCGGATCAGAGACTCCAGTTGGCGAGGATACGCAGAAACCATTCCTCTCCCACTGCCAATTTTCCTCATATCCACATATGCCTGAAAAGGAGAAATTCATCAACTATCTCAGGGAATCATACTGTCTGTTATTCACAGAATTTTCAGAATTACCCTGTACCTACTATTCTGGCATACAAGCTATTCTAACAAGAGCAGTTCTAAACACATACTTCTGCTCAGATACATATATGTTATATTCTTTTGTCATGAAGGATATGTATATCAGGTATAAATCTTTCCCTGATCCAGCAAGTCATCATAACAAATCAATTTCTGAATCACCTGGAAAAGCTTTAGGCTGCTTTCACTTAGTTCCATCTGTACTGGCATACTTAACTTAATTTCAGTAAAAATTTATGCGTTCAATGTGGTAAAACCAAATCAATATTTCTGAAAGCAAGTTAAAAGATCACAGCACAGAATGACTTCTATGTTCATCCCCTTTTCCTTCTAAGTGCTAATATTTTTTAGAATTTTTTGAAAGATCTTGAAATTTTCTATAGGAAGTATACTTTAGAAAAGATTTCTGAAACATTGTTGACATGTCAGAAAAGACCCAGTACGTTAACTGCCATTCCTTTACCTCAATAAGGGCTTGGCTTGCTTCTTCACTTAACCTGGGATTTACAAAAGTACGAGCATATGCAATATAATCCCGCAGTACTGCCATATCCATGTACTCCTCTTCCATCTTTTCCTCAGTTTGGTAGTACAAAGAAACCAGATGGCGAGCAAGACGTCTATCGTAGGCTTCATCGCGTGGATCCAACATTAAGAAGATCAAATCAAACCTGAACAGGTAAGAATCCAACGTTAGCGTGTGTATTTTCTTGCCATGTAAAATAGTTTGTTGCATCAAAACCATAAAACAAGACGCCATAGGCAAAGCTGCTATACTAAATGAAAAGCTGATTTTCCTAGAGTGAGAAAAACAGATAAATACTTGGAGGAAAGCTATAAGGTATTGACAGCTTGGATTTGCCTGTAGGTTTGAAACTTTGAAGATGAAATTCTGTGAAGTGCTTCCCTGGCTTGTGAAGTTCCCTCCCTTGGTCAAGACTGACAGGCTCTTTCATTTGTTTCTTTTGAAAAGAGAACAAAGCTGCTGCTAACACTACTGCCCTCAAAGGCAGCAGCAAATGGGGCATGCATGGATAAACATACTTCCTGTTTAATGTGAAGGCATTCCAACACATACTAATTATGTAATAAAAACATAATAATTTCATAAAACTATTATTTATAAATAATAATTTGTTTTTATAATAAAAACATAATATTAAGCTGGAGATGCAAATACTGCAAGACAGTTCTCTGCTCCCACAGAAACTCAGTAACATTTGAAATCAACGCTATAAAAGTTTTCCACTAAGCTACGGAGAACACAGCTGTTCTTTTCTCTCATAGCAAGTCATTTTCACAAGGGCACGTATAGCATGTCGTGCTATAGAAGTGGGACATGCAGGAAGTTGCCTAATACCTTGATAACAATGTATGGGGAAGCTGGATGTTTTCAATTGTTGTTTTCTTGGGATTCCATTGCGATTCTATAGGGTTAGCGGCTGCCAGGATAGATGTGCGAGCATTCAGCTGGCAGATAATTCCAGCCTGAAGAGAGAGTTCTGCTATATTATTAATGTGCTTCCTATATCACAAACTATTGCAAAGCCTTGCAGAATAACGAAATAAGATCACTTGGAAATACTTCAAATGTGGGATGCAGCCCTTTGCATTATGTTATCTGTCATTCTTGTGCGAGTTAGTGTAGTCTAGAACCAATCCACTAGTGACAACAGTGAAGCTTAACCTCTTCCTCAGCTAACACGTGGTTTCAATTGCCTAGCTCATGCCGTGGGGAGTGAATGGAACTCTACCTTGGCAATGGAGAGGGTCTGCTGTTCCATGACTTCGTGCAGAACTGATCTTGTACTTTCGTTCATTTTATCAAATTCATCAATGCAGCAAATGCCGTTGTCGCTGAGTACCAAAGCACCCGTCTGGAGAACCAGCTGCCGTGTCTCAGGATCCTTCATCACATACGCAGTGAGACCAACCGCGCTCGAGCCTCTTCCAGACGTGTACTGGCCTCTAGGAACGAGGTTATACACGTACTGGAGCAGCTGGGATTTACTAGTACCCGGGTCGCCGCACAGGAGAATGTTGATCTCCGCTCGGAAGTTCCCTCTTCCGGTCCGACTGAAATCCTTTCGCGATCCCCCGAAAAGCTGGAGCAGAATTCCCTATAAAAATAGGCTTAATCAAAATCTAACCATCAGCCAATAGTAGAAGCCCATCCAACTGTTGAATTAAAACATCCCATGAACTGAAACACTTAAAATCAGCAGAATTAAGAGGTAAGACAACACTTGAAACTTTTCTGAAGCCTTAAATAGGATTTTATCTAGAGATGTCCTCGATTTTGGTTGATTTCAAAACATACAGTGCTAGGGTTCCATAGTCTCACAATTAAGTTATGCCAGTTCCACTGTTTTATCAACTCCTCCTACATCTTCCCTCTAAACATTCCCAAACACCATGAAAATAATTATGATTATAAATGTATCACCTTTGTTCTGATAAGACCATTTTAAAACTGTGCAAGCATGCACAAGGTTTTAAGAAAAATCAGACGTCATGTCAGCTAAAAAAAATCATTGTTTACCCCCGAGACTCAATAAAATTATTTGTAGCAAAGGTTCATAATTACAAATGCACTTCCAAATAAGTATGGCTTAAAATTCTAGATTTTTATTGTATTTACCTTTTTGATATCTTCATGCTCATAGATACTTGGTGCCAATGCTGCAGAGAGTCTTTCATATATATCTGGTTTTCTAGAAAGCTCTTTTAGTATTTCCACACGTTCCTCTGCAAACATTTTTTGCTCCGTTTCCTCATCAACACCATGCAGGCGTTTTGCATCAGTTTTGCGATAGTGAATGACATCAATGTGGGTCTTGTAGACAGATTTTACATTGCTGACCCTTGAGTTAACTCGAATTGGGACTGCCCTGTAGATACCTAAATACAATTTTGAATCACAGCATTAGATGAAGACGACATGATACAAGAAACATGATAAACCCACATTTTTTACATTCTTCCTTGTAAATTAAAGTCTCTCAAAACAGTCCAGTATTTTAATCCTTTTTTTCTCCAGTACCAGGAAGTGAGTGGACTTCCTAGGCCTCTGTTAACACTGTGCTGTTACTGCACACAGTGAATTTGCCTACTTGTTGGACAACATTACAGTCAGCATCCCTCTGAGGTGACCTATAAATAAAATAAAACACCATCTTTTTTTGGGGTTGCCTTGCATCCCATCCTGGGGTTCCCTTTGCTGATTTGGTTTTGAAAATATTTGTATAAGAATTTCAAATGCACAACTGAAGATTGAAGACAGCACGTTATGGGTAGGGGAACAAGTCACTGTAAAGAAGGAAACCTGCCATGAAATGATTTTATGTAGCTGATGTAAAATAACAAACAAGCAGATGTAGATAACAGTATGCAAGTTGGGTTGTATTTCCGTTTCAGACTTAGAAGGTTCCTGGCTATACATGACTCACCCTATGGACGTGTTCAGTTATCAGATAGGCGTAACGGTACATTAAGGCATTAAAACTGATGGGGAGGGGGAAGGATGTAAATAGTCAAGATAAACTAGATTTTACCTGTAACATTTACTCTGTCACCTGGTTGAACTTTATCAACAAGGTCATTATGAGCAAACAGGGCAACAGTATGAGGGGTCTGTCCAGCTGGCATATCTTCAGGAGACTCCTGTAGTTTGATCTAACCAAAAATCTGAGCATTAGTTTCAAGCAGGCAAAACTTTTGTACAAAGCGCAGTGACAAACGCACAGTTCACACGCAGAGTCAAGGCTGTTTCCCCTCAAGAGCTACCCAGACGCAACGTACCATCTGTTTATCAGAAAACATGGACCGGTTGTGGATCAGTGCCATGCTGTGCTTGCTGTTGCAGTTCTTGCACACGGCCGGCTCCGCAATCCTGCCACGGTCGATTTCCACCCTGCTGGTGAAGGCGCAGACCTGGCACTTGAAGAAGGCTTCCTGCATCTCGGGAATTAACTGGGAGCTTCTGATTACCATCCCGCTGATGGTGATGAGCTGGTCAATATCTGCAAGATGGAGATACCCGTGTTAGCATATGGTGCTTAAAATAACAATTTATCACAGAATTTGGACGATTATTTTATAGGTGGGAAGTACACATTTATAGTCAGGTTCTACATACCTGGCCAAAACACATAAAAAGGCAACTTGTATTATATAAGCAATTGAATTGGCACAAGCACAAATGAAAGCACTTACTGAACTAAGAACATCAGCACTTGATGTCAAAAAAGAATTTCTTTAATGAAAAGTTATTCTGCATTTTTTCATTTAGATTATTTTCTTCCAGAACAGTGATGTCAAAGAGAACATCAGTCTAGATGGGCCTAGCTTTAGTTTTGTACAATCATATATATAATTCTCTGGTAACATTCACTAAATTTAATCCGTACTGTTGTTTCCTGACATAATAATGAAAAGCTTACCTTCAGGGTTTAGACTCCTCATATTCCTAGTCTTCAATGCATTATATGGCCTTACTTGAATTTGATGTTCTAATATTGAATCCGGGTAACGATCAAAAAAGATCTCATTGGCAGCCATGTCAAATGTAGGGATCACTTCCTGTATTAAATAATTGGGAACAATTAGATTTAGAAGTAAACATGCTTTGTGCAAAATATTTTGGCCTGTGATTGTATGTGCTGCGTTATAACTAAATGTTATACCAGGCAAGCATTACCCTGCCTAGCAGAAAAACTTAGTATTTAAATCAAATTAATCTGAGTACTGCGTAGACAAGAAAAAAAAAAAAAAAAAGACACCAGATTCTGGACACAGCCTCTGTGTCCTAGATACACTGCAATTTATTAGCTAACTTTTTATTTATGTGGCGCCTACTATAACTGTGATCAAGTTCTAAATACTACAAAATAAAATATTATAGAAAACAAGCAACATAAAAATCTTCCAATTTTTTTTTTTTTAAAAAGAGGAAAAACATGAAAGAGCCTCTTAACGGCCAGAAAACAAATGCATTACTTCACCTGAGGATAGCAGATCAGCTGCCGATAAAGATTTTCATCAAATGACCTTAGATGGTCGCAATTTACATTCAGAAATGGTTCCCCAACCATATTTATCTGCAAAATACATGAAAAGCAATCCTTAGTTCAATGGCACATAAAGAAGAGGAAAGAGGATTTTAGCTTTGTTCCAGGCACCTCTTCGAGTCGCTGCATGTAGCGAGGCTCGTTCAGATCCAAGCCAACATCTTCATCCTCTTTAGCGACGGGGTCAATGAAGCGTTGAAGAAATCTCTGGATGTTGAAAATGAGGAACAAGAAGGGTGAATTAAGTTTAGTAGTACACACGCACCTTGTAACAGTCCAAAAACAGTATTTAAGATAAATCTATATTTTTTACCTACCTGGAACTTTTCTTTACATGACGTTACATTAACATCTGTTCCCCAAATGACAAGCTTTTGCCCAAGAGATTGCTCGCTTGCCGCTACGTCCTCAGCGGGCTGTGTGGGAACAAGCGGAGGACACGCAGGAATGAAGGGCCGTTCCCAAGGACGCTGCCAGGCCTAGGGCTGGCGTCGCCCACCTACCCCCTCGGAGTGCAGGTCGACTTGGCGGGCCTTGCGCGCAGAGCCCAGGTCGGGGCGCTGCCGCACGGGCGTCCCGCGCGCGCCGCTGCGCGGGGTGCCCTCCACGCGCGAGCTGGGCGTCCCGTACGTCAGCGGGGAGCTGATGTCGAAGTCCAGCGGGATGGCTGCGAGGAAAACAACGGGCTGTGCCCATCGAGCCGCCAGCTCTCCGGTCACGCTAAGGAACCCCACCGTCATGCAGGAACCAGCACCAACCATGGGAATGCCCGTTTATTATTACAAGAGAAAACAAAAGTGGACCCAGTCTAGACCTTTTCTTTGCACATGCATGTTTCCAAAGCAGGTGTGTTTTAGTTAAGCTCTAATAATTGCAACAAAAGTGGTTTAAAGTGTGCTGGTGTTTAACCATATAGGCAAGATACAGCATTTTCCAGTCAAATAACGCATTTCTGGATATTTTTGAGCATGGTAAATGCCAACAAATCAACAAGCAGCTACTACAGCTAGAGACAACCCTACTTACAAAGGCAAGAAAGGCTTTTTAGAATCACCACCCGGCTCCAACCCCATACATAGAAAGGGCCGCGGTTTTCCGGAGTGTTTTACTCCTCCGGCAAACGGACACGGCGGTTTGGCCAGGCACAGGCACCGCCTCGCGAGCCGGGAGCGGC